AGTGTGATGCTGGAGACTACTGCCAGTGTGTTGCTGTAGACCCCTGCCAGTGTGATGCTGGAGACTTCTGCCAGTGTGTTGCTGTAGACCCCTGCCAGTGTGATGCTGTAGACCCCTGCCAGTGTGTTGCTGGAGACTTCTGCCAGTGTGATGCTGTAGACCCCTGCCAGTGTGATGCTGGAGACTTCTGCCAGTGTGTTGCTGTAGACCCCTGCCAGTGTGTGTCTGTAGACTTCTGCCAGTGTGTTGCTGTAGACCCCTGCCAGTGTGTTGCTGGAGACTTCTGCCAGTGTGTTGCTGTAGACTCCTGCCAGTGTGATGCTGTAGACTCCTGCCAGTGTGTTGCTGTAGACTTCTGCCAGTGTGTTGCTGTAGACTTCTGCCAGTGTGTTGCTGTAGACTTCTGCCAGTGTGTTGCTGTAGACTTCTGCCAGTGTGTTGCTGTAGACTTCTGCCAGTGTGTTGCTGGAGACTCCTGCCAGTGTGTTGCTGTAGACCCCTGCCAGTGTGTTGCTGTAGACTTCTGCCAGTGTGTTGCTGTAGACTTCTGCCAGTGTGTTGCTGTAGACCCCTGCCAGTGTGATGCTGTAGACCCCTGCCAGTGTGATGCTGTAGACTTCTGCCAGTGTGTTGCTGTAGACTTCTGCCAGTGTGTTGCTGTAGACTCCTGCCAGTGTGTTGCTGTAGACTTCTGCCAGTGTGTTGCTGGAGACTTCTGCCAGTGTGATGCTGTAGACTTCTGCCAGTGTGTTGCTGTAGACCCCTGCCAGTGTGTTGCTATAGACTCCTGCCAGTGTGATGCTGGAGACTTCTGCCAGTGTGTTGCTGTAGACTCCTGCCAGTGTGATGCTGGAGACTTCTGCCAGTGTGTTGCTGTAGACCCCTGCCAGTGTGATGCTGGAGACTTCTGCCAGTGTGTTGCTGTTGACCCCTGCCAGTGTGATGCTGTAGACTTCTGCCAGTGTGTTGCTGTAGACCCCTGCCAGTGTGTTGCTGGAGACTTCTGCCAGTGTGATGCTGTAGACCCCTGCCAGTGTGATGCTGGAGACTTCTGCCAGTGTGTTGCTGTAGACCCCTGCCAGTGTGATGCTGGAGACTTCTGCCAGTGTGTTGCTGTAGACCCCTGCCAGTGTGATGCTGGAGACTTCTGCCAGTGTGTTGCTGTAGACCCCTGCCAGTGTGATGCTGTAGACCCCTGCCAGTGTGTTGCTGTAGACCCCTGCCAGTGTGATGCTGTAGACCCCTGCCAGTATGATGCTGGAGACTTCTACCAGTGTGGTGCTGGAGACCCCTGCCAGTGTGGTGCTGTAGACCCCTGCCAGTGTGATGCTGTAGACCCCTGCCAGTGTGATGCTGGAGACTTCTGCCAGTGTGTTGCTGTAGACCCCTGCCAGTGTGTTGCTGTAGACCCCTGCCAGTGTGTTGCTGTAGACTTCTGCCAGTGTGTTGCTGTAGACCCCTGCCAGTGTGTTGCTGGAGACTTCTGCCAGTGTGGTGCTGGAGACCCCTGCCAGTGTGCTGCTGTAGACCCCTGCCAGTGTGTTGCTGTAGACCCCTGCCAGTGTGATGCTGGAGAGTAAAGGTGGAGTTTTAGACACCGTGACGATACTCTGAAGGACTGGCCCATCATATACTGAGTAGGGTGAACTCGCCGGCGTGAGGACAATAGAACCTAAGTGATGTATAATAGAAGATAAAGTGGACTCGCCGGGAAAATAGGATTGTAGAGTTTATTGTGTTAGTGTCCTGTGGAAAAGTGACACTCGCAGTGTGATATGTTCATATATATATACATATATATATATATATATATATATATATATATATATATATATATATATATATATATATATATATATATATATATATATATATATATATATATATATATATATATATATATATATATATATATATATATTTAAACTTAAGAAGTTTGCAATGTGCCATCACTTTAAAATCAATATCTCTAAAGCTCCATTAAGTTCATAACGTAATTTTTCCAGGATAACCAAGTACTCTGTTAATAGACACAAGTTAATTCGTTGCTCCTTCCCTCACCATAAACTATCCTCAAGACTTCTCCACTGTCAATAATTTGATCTCTTCCCAATCATATGATCCCATCACGACTATAATATTTATCTCGACATAATACAGGTAGTCTACTACAGGCCGCGGGTACAGGTAGCCTACTGCAGGCCACGGGTACAGGTAGCCTACTGCAGGCCTCGGGTACAGGTAGCCTACTGCAGGCCACGGGTACAGGTAGCCTACTGCAGGCCACGGGTACAGGTAGCCTACTGCAGGCCACAGGTACAGGTAGCCTACTGCAGGCCACAGGTACAGGTAGTCTACTGCAGGCCACAGGTATAGGTAGCCTACTGCAGGCCACGGGTACAGGTAGCCTACTGCAGGCCACAGGTACAGGTAGTCTACTGCAGGCTACAGGTACAGGTAGCCTACTGCAGGCCACAGGTACAGGTAGCCTACTGCAGGCCACAGGTACAGGTAGTCTACTGCAGGCTACAGGTACAGGTAGCCTACTGCAGGCCACAGGTACAGGTAGTCTACTGCAGGCTACAGGTACAGGTAGCCTACTGCAGGCTACAGGTACAGGTAGCCAACTGCAGGCCACATATACGAAAGTGAGTGTTATATTTCAATAATAATAACATAAATATTTCTGAATTATTTCATCACATTCAAACATGATTCACTTAAGAGCATCAATACGACATAGGCATCACCCAGGGTATAAATATGTCTCTAATATCAACTGGAAATAAATTCAATACATTTTCATATATATGTCAATGTTACATCTATATCCTATAATCCGTGACTGCAACGTTTTACTCCTCTTAGGGCAAATAAATCATGTATATATATATATATATATATATATATATATATATATATATATATGACCGAAAAAGTAAGATTAATAATTCTAACACGAATTTTCTCTATCTTTCTTATGTTTCTTTTCACTGTTGATGGTAATTCAAAGATCAATTCTCAAAAATTCCTTTTTGTTTCTAGTCTGACGCGACACTTGAGCGCGTTTCGTAAAACTTATTACATTTTCAAAGACTTTAGTTTTCAAACACACAACTGAAACTGAATAGAGCTTTGCACATTTTCGAGTTTATATCTACATTTGGGTGAGGTGGATGAGGTGAAAACCAACTTTCAACAATGGGTATTATATAGGTATTAAATTCTAACACAAGACAGAACACGAAACAATGGGTATTGAATGGAAGTAATTGCAGAAAGCCTATTGGTCCATATTTCTTGATGCTTCTATATTGGAGCGGAGTCTTGAAGTGGGTAGAATATAGTTGTGCATTAATTGGCTGTTGATTGCTGGTGTTGACTTCTTGATGTGTAGTGCCTCGCAGACGTCTAGCCGCCTGCTATCGCTGTATCTATCGATGATTTCTGTGTTGTTTACTAGGATTTCTCTGGTGATGGTTTGTTTGTGGGAAGAGATTATATGTTCCTTAATGGAGCCCTGTTGCTTATGCATCGTTAAACGCCTGGAAAGAGATGTTGTTGTCTTGCCTATATACTGGGTTTTTTGAGGCTTACAGTCCCCAAGAGGGCATTTGAAGGCATAGATGACGTTGGTCTCTTTTAAAGCGTTCTGCTTTGTGTCTGGAGAGTTTCTCATGAGTAGGCTGGCCGTTTTTCTGGTTTTATAGTAAATCGTCAGTTGTATCTTCTGATTTTTGTCTGTAGGGATAACGTTTCTACTGACAATATCTTTCAGGACCCTTTCCTCCGTTTTATGGGCTGTGGAAAAGAAGTTCCTGTAAAATAGTCTAATAGGGGGTATAGGTGTTGTGTTAGTTGTCTCTTCAGAGGTTGCATGGCGTTTCACTTTCCTTCTTATGATGTCTTCCACGAAACCATTGGAGAAGCCGTTGTTGACTAGGACCTGCCTTACCCTACAGAGTTCTTCGTCGACTTGCTTCCATTCTGAACTGTGGCTGAGAGCACGGTCGACATAAGCGTTAACAACACTCCTCTTGTACCTGTCTGGGCAGTCGCTGTTGGCATTCAGGCACATTCCTATGTTTGTTTCCTTCGTGTAGACTGCAGTGTGGAAAACTCCGCTCCTGTGCAGCATTAAATTCTGTCTATTTAGCTAAAAGTTTTTTCTAGTGATTGAAAAGGGAAGGGAACTATGAGGAGAAAGCTCCAAGTCATTACGACTATATAGCACTTGGAATGGGTCAGGATAAGAATTTGGGATGGGACTGGGGGGAAGAAATGGTACCTAACCACTTGGACGGTCGGGGATTGAACCTGCATGAAGTGAGACCGTCGCTCTACCGTCCACCCCAAGCGGTGGGGTAGTAGTGCATGAAAAGCAGACCCTGAGTCACAGGAAATGACTTCTCAACCATTCGATACTGCAAACTTTTACAGGTAGTTGTAGGCAACTCTGCATTTGGACTACTTGGCAAGTTGTCTAGTGTGTCACTTGTAGTCTACATGCATTATTTGTGTAGAACTTGCAGGTAGCTGTGATATTTTCAGGTGTTACTTTTCTCCTGAGTACCATCGGATGTTAATTATTACTATAAGCAGTAGTGTGTGTGTTGCTTATGTGAGAGAGTTCAGAGAGTGAGGTCAATTTGAAAGGTACAATTGTACCAAGTAGGGATGTTTAATATCACGAGAACAAGCTAACGTATACATAAAGTTAAGACAACAACGATAATAATATATTAGCTGTCAATAATGCTTACTAGAGTTTCTCTGTAGATAAACAAGCTGAATTAAACATGTTTCTTAGTAATGAGGTAATGACATTGTTAAATATCTAAATTGTAGTTAAACAATAACAGATGTATGCACCTATAATAACCATTAAGGAAGCGCATATGCAAAATATTCGTCCTGTGAATTGATGAGTTTAAGATGCACTTTAATTCATAATTTTCTGGCTTAAATTTGATAGTTTTATCTCTTATTCTTCAGGAGCATTGGGCAGAATGAGGTGCCGGAGGCTGCTGAAGCGGGTGATGCTGGCGCTGCTCTTCGTCTGCATGACCCTCAAGATCCACCTGGAGATGAGGATGCTGGACTCCACCAAGACCGGGGTATCTTTCTCTCCCTGGTGGAGCAGCCAGACTCCGGCCCACCCGCGCCTCTTGGTTGGACACTCAAGTGATTCTCCCCAAAATTTGTCAATAAAAAGTTCAACTTTAAATATAAGTTCATCTTTTATTGTGGACTATATCGTAAACAATAGAACAAATAGCAGTAAAAATATAGAATTAAATATGGTTAGTGCATCAAATCAGATTAGAAATTTTAGCGCCAAATCTGAGGTTATTAGTAAATTATCGAAACAAGAAGAAACACCAGTCCACAGTGAAAGTAATAATACGCATATCGGCAGCAACACGACACAGAAGCATAACTTGTCTACGGTTGACGAAACTCAGAGTGAAGACATGAAACACAACTTGACGTCCACTCATCAGGAAGCGGCACACACAATTACCGTGGTAAAAAAACACATATTTGCTAAACTCGGAATATGGGACAGCCACAATAAAATTAAAATCCATAATGTGAGCACAGATTTTACTGAAATTAAGTTAAAACCAGTAAATCAAACGCTACCGGAAAATTCTAAGGAGAATACTCCTCCTGTGGCCAAGGAGAATCCTCCGACCAGAGCCAAGGAAGATCAACAAGTCCTCCCGATAAAACTCTTTCCCCCGGTCAACACAGTGGCGAAGCCTGAACCGCCTAAGAGAGGTGTCTCGCACGTCGTAGACTCCACGGAGGTGTCCTTGACGAAGGAAGACATCATAAAAATAAAAAAGCTGTTGGCAAAAGAAAATGAAGAACAGAAGGTGTACAACCAGGACCGCTTCGGCCCCATCGCCAGCAACACCACAATACTCCTGGTGCAGGTTAGTTACCCCTCCACACCTTCCACTGAAAATTGTTTTTCTCCTTGCACCCGTTCTCTTAATAGAACGTCGTATTTTGACGTGTACTCAACCTAAGGGAAAAAAAAATTGTACTAGAAAATGGTAGCTGCTCACGAAATTGACAAACTGTCCCGTTTTCTGTTTTGGGTCCTCTGGTAGGTTAGGATAAGGGCACTTTAATACGAAAGTTTCTTGACGTTGGGAATATTAGGAGGACGGGCTGCTCTGAGATAGTTACCTTTCTAGATTAGAGTCCCTAGATATTCTTTGGTTAGACGATGCGTCACAAGAATGAAACTGAACAAGTGGACCTCTTCAAGAGAACACTAGATAGTTTTCTTCAACAAGTGCCGGACCAACCAGGCTGTGGTGGGTATGTGGGCCTGCGGGCCGATCCAAGCAACAGCCTGGAGGACCAAGCTCTCACAAGTCAAGCCTGGCCTCGGGCCGGGCTTGGGGAGTAGACGAACTCCCAGAACCCCATCAACCAGGTATCAAATGATGACCAAACCACAACTCGTTTGTATTTTGTGAGAAGAGACGACGTTTCGGCGCTTCTCCATCTTACGAGTTGTGGTGTTGTGATCATTCTCTGGGTGTGTCAGTGTCAAGGTTGGTGATCATTCTCTGGGTGTGTCAGTGTCAAGGTTGGTGATCATTCTCTGGGTACTCACCTATTTGTGCTTGCGGGGGTTGAGCCTTGTCTCTTTGGTCCCGCCTCTCAACTGTCAATCAACTGGTGTACAGGTTCCTGAGCCTACTGGGCTCTATCATAACTACATTTGAAACTGTGTATGGAGTCAGCCTCCACCACATCACTTTCTAGTGCATTCCATTTACTAACCACTCTGACACTAAAAAAAAATTTTCTAATGTCTCTGTGGCTCATTTGGGTACTAAGTTTCCACCTGTGTCCCCTTGTTCGTTTCCCACCTGTGCTGAAGAGTTTGTCTTTGTCCACCCTGTCAATTCTCCTGAGAATTTTGTAGGTGGTTAACCATGTCTCTCCTTACTCCTCTGTTTTCCGGGGACGTGAGGTTCAGCTCCTTCAGCCTTTCTTCGTAGCTCATATCTCACAGTTCCGGGACAAGTCTGGTCGCACACCGATGAATCTTCTCTAGCTATGTCTTGTGTTTAACTAGATATGGAATCTAGGCTGGAGCTGCATATTCCAGGATTTTTCTTACATAAGTGGTATACAGGGTTCTGAACGATTCCTTACACAAGTTTCTGAAGGCAGTTCTTATGTTGGCCAACCTAGCATATGCCGCTGATGATATCCTTTTGATGTAGGCCTCTGGGGACAGGTTCGGTGTGATATCAAGCCCCAGACCTTTTTCTCTATTTGACTCTTGCAGGATTTCACCTCCCAGATGGTACCTTGTGTTCAGCCTTCTGCTCCCTTCGCCTAATTTCATTACTTTACACTTTCCTGAGTTGAACTTTAGGAGACATTTTCTAGACCATTCCTCCAGTTTGTCCAGGTCATCCTGTAGTCTCTGTGTATCTTGATTCTTCTCATAATTTTTGCATCATCAGCCAACATTGAGAGGAATGAGTCTATACCCTCTGGAAGATCGTTCACATATATTAGAAACAGAATGGGTCCAAGTACAGAGCCCTGTGGGACTCCGCTGGTGACATCTCGCCACTCTGATGTCTCTCCCCTCACAGTTACTCGCTGTTTCCTTTTGGTTAGATAGTACGTGAGGAGAGCCATCAGGAGGCGGGGAGTGTTGGAGTATTTTATTTTAATTACTTTTTAGTTGTTCATGGAAGGAGAGTATTTGGTTGTGGTAACCCGTCCTCGACTCAAGTCCATTACATCCAGCAGTCGACCCCACAGACGCATTCATAAATTTTTACATGCTGTTCGTTCAAAATTAATATTATAATATATTAGCATATCGTGCATATATAGGGATAGGTTAGGTTAGGTGTTTAGGTTCTGTTGGCGATTATTTGTATTTGTAGTACGTGGGGGAAGCATTTGCAGCGTTGTGGTTCGAACAAAATGCGTCAGGGAAGCACTTGTTCCGGAAGTGTTCGAACGCCATCAGTTGTGAGTCGTGTGTAAACCGTTTTTCATTCATAAACAGCGGGTTTGGCGGGTGCATGGAATCAAAGACCCAGAATCACTGGGTCTTTGTGTGGAGGACGGGCTGGATTGTGGTAACAAGTGCTTCATTGACGAATTTTGTTCTAACTGGAACAAGTGCTTCACTGACGATTTTTGTTCGAACCACAACGCTGTAAATGCTTCACCCTCGTACTACAAATACAAATAATCGCCAACAGAACCTAAACACCTAACCTAACCTAACCTATATCTATATATATGCACAATTTGCTAAAATATTATAATATTAATATATATTTGAGAAAATTCCTGTTTTGAATGAACAGCATGTTAACATTTATGAATGCACTGAATTGCACTGTATCTATTGCTACCCAATCTCCCAATCTTTATGTACCCAATCCGAACATCTGTACCATTGTGACCATTGCTGTCTTCTTATATGTGCTATCAATCTGCTGTATGGTGTCTATTAATCTTGTTTAAATTACCAATCAAGCTGTCATTGTAATCAACCAGAGCTTTAATAAACCAATGTGCTTTAATATACTTACTAATCTCTCTCATCTTATTTTTTTCTTGCAATGTGTCTGTTGTCATTTTATTAATTCTGCTAGAATTTACTTACTTAAAATTATCTGTTAGATTAAGGACCTGCCCGAAACGCTGTGCGTACTAGTGGCTTTACAAGATTGTAAATACTATGCTATGTATTCTCACAAACCCAATGTACCTTCTTGTATATAAATAAATAAATAAATAAATACATAAATAAATGCATCTTTGGGGTCGACCGCTGGATGTAATGGACTTGAGTCGAGAACAGGTTGTGGTGTCAGAAGAAGTAGCAGTACGAGAGGGTATCTACTTGCTGATTGTTGTCTTTTTTTATTTGTAACAATCTGTTACAATTGGGGCCATGTCAGGGATTTCCTCCTCGACCTCATAACACAGTTTTGTACCACCATTCAGAACAGTGGGTAAGGGCTCGATGAATATGAGCGTTGAGAACACTGGCTTTGTATCTTTGGGGCCACTCACTCATACCGTTTAGGCACAATCCTATGTTAGTAGGCTTAGTATATACGCTTAGAGATGCTTCTGTTTTTGTCATTAACACATCCAGTATAGGCCTACTGTTATTTTCACTAGTTTCATGGGTGAATCGGAGTCCTGACTCTCTCTAGATGGCTTTCTAGACTAATTAGTTCTTCGAGTTTTTTTACAATAACAAATACGTCATGAACATAACGGCAGTATACTCTGGGTTTGTGCCTGCTACTGAAGACTCTTTCCTAGATGGTCCCCATGTAAAAAAATGAACAAAAGCACACCTAGCAGAAAGCCCAATGCTAGTCCGTCTATCTACTCAACCTAAAACAACAACACAAGACAAAGATAGAAACCAAGGCCCTGCGGATGTTGACAGCCCAAAACGGTGGACAGTTAAAGATACCTCGTCCAGAAGATGGCTACATAGGAGTGACAAACTGCATTTCTATCTTGAAGCAAATATATCTGAGGATAATTACACCTCAAAAGGGAGATAAGTGTGAATGGGGTTACAGAACAGATTATAAATGATGGAACAAGAAGAAGGGAAGGCAATAAAGAAAGTGAGTAAGATGACAGAGGCGAGAACTAGAGTTGATAATGTAATCGAGATTTGGAGAATAAGGCCAAACTAAACCTTTTGCTGAAGCAGCAAAAGGTTCAGAGGAAAAGAAGGCATTCAAAAACAACATTGTTAGAGGCTGTATAAAGTACCCAAGTCATGAAATGACCAAGGCAGGAATTGGAAAGGGTGAGATCAATAGTAATATACACCTACACAGCCAGAGGGAGACAATAAATTCTACACAAAATTCAAGCCAGAGATGCAAGAATGGAAATAGAGTATTTCTGAAGGCTAGGCAGGTTTTGAGGAGAAAATAATTGACTAGTGAAAGCTATTTTGAAGAACAGCAAGTTAGTTAAGTATTTATTGATAGAAAAGAGGTATTTGAGGAATTAGGAAAAATATTATGCAATATTCATTAGACAGAATATGTCTAATGAGGATAGGGAGACAGCAAAGAGAATCTGGGAAGAAAAACAAATAAGAAATGCAAAGAGACCAGAAAATGGCACAAACACTCACAAGAAAAAGCGAGTCTGAGAGCAGAGAATAGATCAAAATGAAATAGTGAGGATGATCAGCTTAATTAAACTACTGAGGGACAGAATAGGGTTGCCCAGCCTAATAAGGCAACCACACATGTTTTTATTAAGAAAATGAAACTGACAAGTCCTGTAGGGAATGCAATTTTTCCATGAGGATATCAGGTAATAAAGAAAACTTGGTGGAACAGAGGTGAAGATGGTGCAGCCGTGTTGCTACAGGTACAGTGGAACTGTGAAGAGATAAAATTAGCAGAGGAATCCAACCAGCAAGAGTTGGTTGGATTCCAATTAGGAAGATTCATAACGGGAGACACGAAGATAGTAAGAGCAGTGATTTATAATTTTTCACTAAACAACAGAAGGCATAGGGAAGAATATGACAAATGCAATAAGAATTATCTAAAGGTAATGGAAGACAGAGCCACAATGCCAAGTGAAGAAAGAGCTAAGATCCTAAATACTAGGGGAGTTTAACCACACGGAAATAGACTGGATTTCCCTCAAATGAGGGGAATGGACCCCCTATGGGGGTGATGAGACATTGAGAACAAAACTGATAGACTTGTCAGATATACACGTCTTAGAGAGCCATGAGCAGCCTAGCAGTATGGTCACCAGAAGAGTGAGTCACTCTCAGCTTTTGAGTGAGGCTTGTAAAGTAACTTTGTTGTATTTCTTACGTATCAGTATATGTTATTTTATACGTTTCTGTGTCTCCTTCTCTCTGTCATTTATT